GTTGTGAAGTTGAAACCTGGATTGCCTTGGAGAACCCAAGATTAAGTTAGAGTTGTCATAGTTATGGGATACCTGCTGAGGAAAGCTGCTAATAGGCAGTGGAACCAGCCCAAGAGAAAGAAGTGTTTTTTCAGTCAACAGAGCTAGAGATCTGAAGAGCATTTGGACATCAGACATGGAGATGCAGAGTTTGGAGTTTGTCCAGCTGGTTTGTTTTCTGTCTTGCTTTGGTCCATTATTTCCACTATTCTCCTTTCTCTATGTTTTGGAATGGTAATGTATATCCTGTGCCATTACATGTTGGAAATATGTGATCTGTTTTCTGATTTTGATTTGATAGGGGATTACATTAAAGAGATTGCATGCATCTCAGAAGAGACTTTGAACTTTGGCTTTTAGACGCTGTTGAGACTATATTGGCTATGGGGACTTTTGAAGTTGGACTAAGTGCATTTTGCATTGTGATATTGTTACAAGCTTAGGGGAGCCAAGGAGTGGAATGTGGTAGTTTGAATCTAATTGGCCCCCATAACCTCATCGAGAATGGCACTATTAGGAGATGTGGCTTTGTTGGAGTAGGTATGGCCTTGTTAGAGGAAGTGTGTCACTGTGGGGGCGGACTTTGAGGTCTCTTTTGCCCCAGGTTCCCTTAGTGTGTCTCAGTCAACTTCCTGTTGCCTGCAAGATGTAGAACTTTCAGCTTCTCCAGCACATGTCTGCCTGCACATGCCAATGCTCCCTGTCATGATGATAACGAACTGAACCTCTGAAACTGTAATTGAACTCCCTCAGTTAAATGTTTTCCTTATAAAAGTTGCCATGGAAGCTGGGAGATGGTGGTGCATGCCTTTAATGCCAGCACTCAGGAGGCAGGAGCAGGTGGATCTCTGTGAGTTCGAGACCAGGCTAGGCTACAGAGTGAGTTCCAGGAAAGGCTCCAAAGCTACACAGAGAAACCCTGTCTCAAAAAACAAACAAACAAACAAACAAACAAATAAATAAATAAGAGTTGCCATGGTCATGATGTCTCTTCACAGCAATAAAATCCTAAGACACCCCCAGTCCCGGGTGAGGGCAAAGAAGCAGGAAATTGAAGCCACTGGTCACATTGCATCTGAAACCAGGAAGCAGAGAACCATGAATACTTGTGATCAGATCAGTTTCTCTTTTTTTTCTACAGTCACAGATCCCATTACAAGGAATGGTGTTGCCCAACTCAATTAACCTAATCAGTCTAATCCACATCAGGCATGCCCAGAGGACCCTCTCCCAGGTGATTCTAGACCTCATCAAGTTGACAACTGAGAGATTAACCATCACACTGTATTTCAAGAAGCAAGCACACTTATGGCCATTTGGGTATTTGCAAAGATACAATCTTCAAGTCTGGGGTCTTCCAACCTCATAGCACAGTGAACACACCAAGATATGCCCATATTAAATAATAACGATGTAAGCACAGAGGTGTTCTAATGAAATCAATGACTTAATGTGACCTTGGGAAAGACTTAGTGAATTTTTCTTTCTGTTTTTAGAAACATTGTTTTAACCTCAATTAGACTTCTTAGGGCCTTGGTGAAGCTTGTAGGCATAAAGAAAGGATCCAGCATGGCTCTATATTTCCAGGTCTACCTACTTGGACTATACAGAAACAGAGAGTGTGGATCCATCACTGGCTTGGCAGACATAGCCATCAGGTCCCAGTCCTCATCCTCTATAAATTCGGGGGAGTAGGCAGGACATTGTCCCTATTAATTTCATTGCTATACTTACAACAAGAGTCTGGAACTTGGCTGACATTGTCTAATCTATTTTGAAAACTCCACCAGGGAGGACAGCTTGATTCAGATAGGTCCACAGAGAAATTTTGCGAAAGGACGCGTGAATGTCAATTAGAACTGGCTAATGGTCCTGCATGGTGGGATGGAGACTGTAAAGGCTAAGCAGAAAAGGCCCAGCCCGTCCTTTGGGCTGTAATGCTCAGTAAGAAGTCCTACCCTCAGCAGTGATGAGATGCTGAGCAAAACAAATGGCCTCGTTAATTAAGTAGGTTAGTACTCCCACCACATTGTCCTGAATTGCTCTTCTGATTTCCAGGAGAGGGATTTTTGAGCCAGATTAAATGCCAAAAATCAACCTGTGTACTTTGAAAGCAATCTCAGAGAGATGACACAAACTAGGTGTGGCACTGCACATCTGCAATCCCAGCATTTGGGAGGTGGATTCGGGATGACAGCAGGTGGAAGGTTAGCCTGGGCTACATAGAGGGACCATCTCAAAAAAACAGCAATCAATAAAGATATTTGAATAGGCTTGGATAGGACACCCAGCTTACCTCCAACTGTTGAGTGAAGTTCCTAAGCACCCCAACCAACTGGCTTTGTCCTCCAGCCTGGCCAAAAACTGGAGAAGGCAGTAGAAGACTCCTTTAATTTCTAGTCTTTTTCTTTTCCACTTGAAGATGTGTGGTAGCTGTTTTGTTCACTGAACCCATATTGTTGAATACCTTCCACTCTGTTCTAAGCACACATGTAAAGCAGTATAGATTACATACTAAAAATCCCAGGTCTATGTGGCTTCATTCCATAGGTTGAGTCCCCTGTACAACATTGTGTTCTCTGTATTGTGTAAAAAGAGCACCCCCTTTCTGTTGTATGCTTCTCGGCATATACGCCTGTAACTCTTAGGAACAGTGAGTAACTATTTCTCATCAAATGGGCTTCCCCAGAGTCTGTCCTGGCACATTGTGGCCGCATCAATGAGAGTCTAGGTAACAGACATTCCCCTTAAAGAATTCTATGGTTTTATAGCAACTTGACACAAGCTAATGTCACCAAAAAGGAGGAAACCTCAATTGAGAAAATTCCTCTGTATGATCCAACTGTAGAGTATTTTCTTAATTAGTGATTGATGGGGGAGGACCCAGCTCACTGTGGGTGGGGCCCCTCTTGGGCTGGTGGTCCTGGGTTCTATAAGCAGGCTGAGCAAGCTATGATGAGCAAGTTGATAACCAGCTCTCCTCCATGGCCTCTGCATCAGTTCCTGCCTCCAGGTTCCTCACCCTGCTTGAGTTCCTGTCCTGGCTTCCTTCACAATGGTGGACTCCAATGTGGAAGTGTAAGCTGAACAAACCCTTTCCTCCCAACTTGTTTTTGGTCATAGTATTTCATGGCAGCAATAGAAACCCTGACTAAGACAAATACACTGGTTTGAATAAGATGACCCTTCACCCTTTCCTATCATTTCATCCTTTCCTATCATTTAGTCTAGAAATGGAAGACCCGGCAGGGCTATCAGGGTGGCTGTAAAAATGCCACCAGCATCCTCGGTTCCATGCATTTTCTGGTTGACTCTCTTTAGTGGTTAATTCCATTCTTAAGACTCCTCCATTGTCCCCAGGTGTCCACTGTGGTGATAATATTCACACTCACAGCCAAAGCAACGAGAAAGAGGAGGGTAGGAAAAGCGGACGCTGCACTTTCAACCTCTCTTCCCAGACTCGTGCTGGAATTTAGCTGTCACTCTACTATTATCAAGAGGTGGGGACTTGAAGAGACGGCGAGCTCATGAGGGCTCCATCCTTTCATATAAACCAGTGCAGCATCATCCTGGGAGGAAGCTCCTAAGACAAAGATAGAGTTCAATTCGTTTTCTCTCTCAGACTCTCAACTCTCACTTGACCCAGCCACATTAGGACTTGGCATGGAAGCCCTCATCAGAAGCAGCATCATACCCTTGGACAACTCAGAACTTCTTAGCCAAGACATCTCTCCTTGGTAAACTACCCAGTCTGTGACACTCAGTTATAGTGGCAGAAAAATGGACTCACACAGCAAATATTCCAAGAATTCAAGTTTTGAAATACCCTCCCATGTCATCCCTTTCCGTAAAATCTTGTTGATTTGGGGCTGGAGAGATGGCTCAGAGGTTAAGAGCTCTGGTTCCTCTTTCAGAGGACCCTGGTTTAATTCCCAGCCCCCACGTGGCAGCTCACAACTGTCTGTAACTCCAGTTCCAGGGGATCTGACACCTTCACACCAATGCACATAAAATAAAGTTAAATAAATTATAATAAAATTAGAAAACATGTTGATTTTTAAGTTCATCCGTAAGTTCTTATACAAACCTGCTTCTGAAAGGTGGAGCCTACCCTCCCCACAACCCCCCCTACACACATATCATGTTGAGTACCACATGTTACTAATAACTAAGATGAGTAGAAATAGTGGTGTGTGACTGCTAGGCCTTGGCAACGAAAAACACCTTCCTTCTCTCTAGATCAGCTCCTTCAGCGCAAAGCGAGCTGCAAGAACTCTCCGGGCCCCTGGAGTACATCCAATGCCTCAGATAAGTTTGGAGGGCACAGAGCCTAGGCTGCCATTTTGGCCATAACTTCCTGAGTGATCCTGAGCCAGAAACCACCAGGAAAGCTACTCTATTTCTTCACTCACAAAGTCTATGTGAAATGATAAACTTTTATTGTGCTACTATGCTACGTTTAAAGATAGCTTGTTACAGAGTAATAGAAAAGTATTGCAAAGCAGGACTATGAGATACTGGCTTTGGTCAACACTGTGGTAGACAATGGTAGTTTCCATCAAGACCTAATTGCCTTCTCTCTGAGTGCACAGCCAGACTACATTTCCCATCACCCTTGCAAGTGGATGTGGTCATGTGACTAAAATCTCTAATATAGTGTGAAAAGATGAGCTAGACACTACTTCTAGCTTTGGCCAAAAAGATGTATACATGCCTCTCCAAACATTCTTCCCTTGTAATAGGACTTCTCTCTTTGCCAGCCCAACTGCAGATAGCCTTGACAAGGCCCTCCGAGAGGCCACACCCAAGACAGGAATGTTTAGGTATTGACATTTAAAAGGAGAAGCCTTGGCTGACTGAACACTTGACAAAGGTTATTAGAGAATGTGAAATAAACAAGTTTAGTCACAGACATGTTGTTTTTTTTTTTCTTACTTCAGACGAGACTATTTGTCCAAATAAATATTTTATTTTCCTAAACAAAATAGTAATGTTGGAGAGAGAAAAGAGTTAGCCGGTGGACCCCAGAAGTCTTTGACACAGAAAGATCCAGAACTGAGCATGTGCAGCATCTATTAGCAGATGTGAAGGTGGAGGCTTGTCTCTGAGATGGCTTATAGAGCTCTCAGAAGGCAGGGCAGCATGGTCTCCAAGATCACTGGATGTTTCCCCATCAACTCAGACTCTGTTAAGGGCCGGGTTACATTACAATATGCTGGAAGAAAGAACGACAGGAACACATACGAGAGATCACATGGCAAACCAGAAGCCAGAGAGGGAGGAACAGCCACTCTAGCCCTGCTGTTATCTCCCAAGAGCTAACCATGTTCCCCAAGAAACGCATTGATCCTTTCCAAGCACAGGGCTCACAAGGACCTAGCAGCACGCCGCTAGGCCCCGCCTCTTAGCACTGCCACACTAGAGACCAAGTTTCCAAGTCACAAACCCTTCGGGGCACATCCAAACCACAGCAGCATCTTCAGCCCTTGAGGCATGTAATCTTGAGCCAGACACACCCATAACATCTAAATCAAGCTCTGTCCGTCCAGGGTATCTTGGACAACAAAAGAAATTACGGTCAGCTCTTACCCAGCACACCCTCCTTCCTGGTTACACCTATTACGACCCTCTACACTAAACCTCCAAAACTGTTGTCACCACTGTATCTTATACCCAGGGAAAAGCGCCTTTGCAACAGTTTAGTCACGCACGCGTGGAAGAGAACATTAAGATTCTCTCGTACTATAGCACAGCCTGTAAGGTCCGGGGAAGCCTGGCTGCTGGTTACAACTCCAGCTTCATCCTAAGTCCATCTTTGAGCCCTCCTGCTAACTACCTCTCAGTTAAGTCGGGTGTCTGGACCTTGACATCTGACATCCTCTAAAGCTTGTATAGTCTTATTAGAATGTTCTACCCTCCATGAAATCTCACAGTTAATTGAGACCCCACACACCGCAAGATGAATGTGCAAATACGTAAATCCTTTAAGTGGTCCAAAGGTTAGAAAGTCTTAATTCTCTAAAATCTTCAAATTGTGGGAAGTATTTCTGCAATGATCTGTCAACACAGACCGTGAAATTGGATTTTCTAATATCAGATCCAGGGTGAATTACTAAACTAGATTGACCTAGGAAAATTCAAAGTAGACTTCAGAAAGCGGCTCGACCCGCAACTCACCACTAGATGGCAGCCACACCCCAGGAGCGGGCTACCTCCGCCCTCCTGCTCCTCCAGGCCTGGCCCTTCGACTTGGAACACCACCCAGCCCAGCCTTTTCCGGAGCCTCGGACAGGCCCTAGCCGCTGAAAGGACAGGTCCTAGCAGATAAGATCGGCCTGGGAACCGCATCCCTCCCCAAACAAAACAAAACAAAACGGTGCTTCCCGTCCCGCCTTTCCACCTCTTTTCTTACCAGCTCTACTTGTGGTTTATTCGTCCTGTCCTCAGAGGACTTCTCCCCATGATAAAATTTCCTTTGTTGCTTTTGCGCCCCTTTTTTCCCCAGGCGGGGCCCAGCTGGATGCTGTCTCACACCATCTGCTCCGCTCACAGTGCTGAGGAGGGGCTTTATCCCCCTGGAGTGTTCTTCTAGGAACTTAAGACGGGTTGAGAATTGTCAGGTGTGCGGAGCGCCAGGCAGAAGCAGAGAAAGAGGACGGACGAGAGATAGACTGGGAAGAGTAGAAAAATGTTTAAAGAAAGGAGAGGTAGGAACTGGGACACCCCAGTAGGTCAATTTATCCATCCTATATACGTGTGTTTCAAAGCATTGTGTTGTACAAAATGGGTGCATATGTTAGTAATTTCATAAAGCAAATGAATTCTTTAAGGGGGGGAGCTATGATATGATATGAGAAGTGTCCTAAGTCAAAAGACTTGATATCCTTCATAAATAAGAGGCAGGGAGAAGGAAAGAGACTCCTGATGGTGGGAGCGTCTCTGTCGAGCCATATGGTGGTGGTGCACACCTTTAATGCCAGCACTTGGAAGGCAGAGGCAGGCAGGTCTCTGTGAATTGAAGCCCAGCCTGGTCTACAGAGTGAGACAACCAGGACAATCCGAGTGCAGACAGACCCTGCCTCCAAAAACAAAAAGTGACAATTGTACACACCTGAGTGCTGAGTGAGTGTGTAATGAAGGAATATTCCAACTCCTTGTATGATTCCAAGGGGCTTGTAGTTACAGTTTTTTTTTTTTTTTAAAGCAGAAAAAGGAAGGAGGGACACTTTGACCTGTGTGGCATAAACATCTCTACTTGCTACGATGCTTGGAAGAGATGAGTGACATTTGCTTCAACTAAAAAACCAAACAGTGAGCAAGAGGGAAACAAATTTGTAAGATGAATGAGCATTGATCATTGCTGCGTCTGCACTGTGGGGGCGTACAGTGGTTAATTGGGCAACTTGTCCTATTTGTGTCTGTCAAAAATGTTTCATCTGTTTTTTTAATTGAGGGAAAGCCCTCCAAGGAGCTCGGGAGACAGTTAGAAAAAGCAGGGAAGACACAAGACATGGTTATCACGTGTGACAGGTCAAAGAGCAACTATGAAGGCCCAGAGGAAGGAGGTTACAGGGGACAGAGAGGCCAGTCTTAGTCAACTAAATGAAGATGAGGAGAAAGAACATTCCAGAAGGAGCAGGTCCATCTGCACAAGCAGAGAGACTCTAAGTGGCATTGCACATTCACTAGTTTTTACTAAAGAAACCAATTCATCCTGGTCTGTTTAGAGCATTCCTACTCTTAGCTCTGAAATCTCGTGTTGGGAAACCCATCCATCTCCACATACGGAGGGTTGGTCACCGTAGCATCCCGTGGTTACATGGAAAATGGTATTGACCAGGAAAAGGGCAGCATTCCCTTGGCTTAGATAACATTAGAGTTACAGGCTTAGAAATAAGTCTGAAAAAGAGGTGATTGCTGGGACCTGTTCACGGCCCCATTACCTCAGGACAGCTAAAGCCTACTTTGCTAGAGAAAGCTGGCTTCTCACTCCCTTTCTTCTGCTAGAGGGAGCCTACAGATGGCAAAGCTGCTGCCTGAGTGTGACCCCTAATTTCAACTTAATTTATGTCTGTATTTCACATGTATATATTATGAACACACATTTCACACATGTAGTCTTTAGGCAACTGTAATTTGCATCTTCTCTTTAATCCATTCATTGTTAAAAAAGAAAAAAGAAAATCACTGTAGTGGCAGCCAGCAAGGTAGCTCAGTAGAAAAAGGTGCTTACTTCCAAGCTTCTGACCAAGGCAGTCGACTTGAGTGCTAGAAGAATAAAACCTGCTCCCGCCTCTGCCAAGTTGTCCTTTGACCTCCCCACACACCGATACCTATGACACACATATACCTGATATACACACAAAATAAATAAACGTAATTTAAATTAGGGATGATAAGTTGTCCTTTGACATCTCCACACACATGTTCTATGATACACACACAAAATAAATAAATGTAAATTTAAATTAGGGATGATAGCATCCAATAAATAAATGGGTCAATTAATAAATTAAAGCTTAGAGAACTAATTTGTACAAGGCCAAACAGAGAATAGCAATATACCTCATTACCTGCCACATGGGGCTCTGTAGTAAATAGTGATTTATTATATAGATAAAATGCCTAGAATAATGGCTAGCATAGAAGAAGAAATCGATTAGGACTTAGGGATTAACTCTTATTGATGGTTAGTTCTGCACCACACAGCCACACCCAACCCTGCAGAAGAAAAAGAAGGAAGCATAGATAGAAATCTGAATTTCAAGAAAAATAAGGTCTTGTCTGCATTGCAGAGCAATTTATCCCAGGGCTCCTTGGCACTTGATACCTCCAGTTTTATACGGTGGTCTGAGCATCAAGTCAGAGGCACCAACATCAGAGAAGTGACATCCACTGAATTCCTAATCCAACTGCCCTGAGCCCTCCCGACTAGCTGTCGACTCCCTAAGCAGAAGTGTTCAGCTTTCCCAGAAGAGCCGAGCATTGCCCACAGACCTGACCCCTTTCCCTGCAAGGACTTCCTCAGCCAGAATTCTTCCCACCTTTGCAAGTCCAGGAAATCAAGACACCTGAGGCAGGAGAGCCCACGGCTTTGATCTTGACCTTAAGCTCCTCTGGGGAGCTCTTTGAAGAGCCATTTTACAGTCCACAGAGGAAGCCCACCCACCCAATATACCATTGCTAGTAGCAAGGTCTCCCCACTGCCGCACTGCCCCACTAGCAATGACTCCTATGGTCTCAGGATAGTCGGGAGGACAGCAATCAATCTGGCCACCAGAATCTTAGATAATATTGTTGACCACAGGATAGCCACCGACGTCTTCAGAACTAGCAACCCAACAGCTTACACCAGCTTCCCCAAGCACAGGCTGATGGGGTTACACAGCGGAAGACTTTCTGCCACTTGCCATGATTTCCTTGCTTATCTTCACAAGTATAACTGTCACACAAAAAGAGCAGTGTGTGTGTGTGGGGGGGGTACTATTGGGCCAGATGAGAGAAACAAAAGGGAGCTGCTTTGCCACCGCCCCACCCCCACCCCCAAGAGACACCTAGGCTCCTGGCATTTTGCCATGAAGGGGACCATCATGAGTGTGAGTACTGAGATGTTCCAAGAGGCATTCCTCCCATCTTGGAACTAAAGTTGTTTCCCTAGGTCTACACAACTCCTCCAACATCCAAAGCAGGTAGAGAGGCCCAGATCTCACTACCACTCCTGCCCCAAACACAGTTTCAGCAGGCTCTGAACCAGACAGAACAGGTAACCAACCTACCACCACCTCAAGCCTCCTCCAACCCAGAACCTCCAAGGCCTGCTGAGCCTAGGTCAGGAGTCATCCTGCCCATCCGCCACCAGCCAAATACACACTTCTACTGAAGCTCAAAGGCACACTGCAGAAAAGCTTCATTAATTTTTCACAAGATTTATCTAATAGTGGCTGAGCAGAGCTGAGAAAGCCACATCCAAGTGCCCGTGCCAACAGCTTGCAAAGAGTTAACCCATTAGGCCACATCCTGGTGAGCTCATCCCTGCCTGCCGGAGTCTGCTCAGTGGCTGGGATTTGCAGCACACTGACTCTGGATGTGGCCAGGGTGGCTTCCTCGAGCTGGGATGAAGGACTTGAGCAGAAACTCATTGCCAGCTTCTTCCCCGCGTGAGTGCCGACCGAGTCCCAGGTCCCCCATCTTCCCCCGGGACACTGTGCAGGGTAAGTAGTGAAAAGACAGCCCTCCACCCCCACCCCACCCCCAGCCCTTCGCTGTGTCTCCCAGGAAGGAGGAAGGTTTGAAGTTTGCTTTAGAGTATGTTAAGTCTCCGAAGTGGAGTTGGAAAGCAGTGTGACTATCAGAGATGGGATGGGATGAAGTCAGCTTCAAGCAGGCTGCTGGGACTGCCCTGAAAGACAGGCAGAAGTGGAGTGAGCCGGGGTGCCTCTTACTGTACACCTGGAAAAAAGATACCATGTGCAGAGAAGGCCACCCTGCTTGGGGAACTCTAGCCTTCCGCCCTTGGAAGCCATTAAAGGGAAGGAGTAAGCAGGGACCCTCTGTCCTAGCGGGAGCAAAAGCGCCCAATTGTGAAGTGCAAGGACACCCATAGACCCCAGAGTACTGGGTACAGACTGCCTGTCCCCTGGGCATCCTACATCCAACCTCAGCAGCTGCCGGTCTGTCCCTCCTTCCTGCAGGTGTGGCTGGCACCCTGGGCAGGTGCCAGGGAAACAAGGTGAAGTACCCTGGCTTGGGCAGTCTTCATTTCAGAAAGGAGGGAGCAAGACAGGTACATAAAAACCCAGACAAAGCCTCTGCTTGCTCAGGCAGAGGAGGGCCACGGGGACTCCGCCCCTCAGTAAAGCCAAATGTAATCACACATCACATCCCCAGAGCTGTTTTTCCACCCTGTAGCCAGCCCCACAGGGCCCATGCACTAGTCGCGTGGCCTGAAGAGGAAGGTGAGTGGCGTCCTCCAGCTAGCTCTGACCTTAGAGAAGAGAGTCCCCTTCCTGAGGGTGCTGTGAGCTGGGGACAGATGATGACGAGGCCATGTTGACAGCAGCAACATACTCCACACGCTCGAGTCTCTACACTATCAAGCCAGGCACAGGGCCACACACACCTTATCAGGGGAGTAGACATCACCAAATGAACTCCTGGAAGTGGGGCAGTGCAGCGGGAGGAGATAAAGACCCTGGGGATGAGCATGAGGCAGCAGGAGCTGAGCAGGGTGACCCCAGGAAATTCAGGGAGAGAGAGAGAGATCTGCTTCCCACCCACCCTGGGTCCTGCCCAGGAATATGAAATCATTGCCATTCCACTATGCAAAGCCGGTGGCCTGCCTTCCGCTCTCCCTACCAGTCTGCTGGCTGGGCCAGCCTCCCTACTCTGAGGTCATCTGTGCCCTCTCCTCCCCTCCATGTCACCAGGTCCTTGCAATTCCCAGAATAGCCCAGTTCCTATCAGAGCTCTTTAGGTGGAAGGGTCTGGGGAGGAGGGACAGGGGAGTCAGATAACTCCAGGCCTGAGTGAAGCAGCACTGTGCGGCCTCTGTGAACACTGAGGTAACTAAGTGTGTGGTGCACAGGGCACCCAGTTCTGCTTGAATTTTTAGTCAACAATGGATACGTTTGGGGGTATGTGATATCCAAATCGGTGTTAGATCATTCTAATGCTGAAAAGTATCTATTGTTGATTTGAAATCGAATTCGGCTAACCACTTTGTCCTTGCATTTACTGGATATGAGAACCCCATTTGTACTGAGCCCACATTTCAGCTCATTTGGACAAAAGCCGTGGCACCATGGACGAGCTAGGAAGTGAATTCTAAAGCAAAGGCAGGCAGCTATAGAGCAGCAGGGTTCTAGAAAGGAAGAGAGTGAAGAAAAAAAAGTCAAGTTCTATCCCCTTGAAAGAACATAAAATACCAGGATTGGAGGTCAAGCCTCTGGGAGCCTCGGTTTCCTAATCTGTAAAATGGGAATGATGCTAATTGTACCCCTCTCAGAGTGCTAGGAGAACTCAGAGACTCTCCAGCTAAAGAAAGCACCAGATGCCAGACACTGTGTCTTTCATGGCGACGGTGGTGACTTTGTGGCCATTCTGCCACAGTCCTCTTACTGCCCCACTGGTCCCAACTCAGGACTCACCCTCTCATGCCATGTCTCCTCAGCTTATCACAGTGAGGCCTACCCCCACCCCCACCCGTCACCCCTCACCCAAACACCCGTCATGGAAGTTCTGTGCATTGACTGTGCTCCAGTTAAGGTGTCTTCCCTTCTCACTGTTGCCTCGATTTAAAAAATGAAAAACAAAACTGCCCCCCCCAAGAGTAGGATCAACCCGGACTTGGGCTCTGGAGCCGCAGACACCCAGACCCACATTTTCAACCTTGTCTTTCTATTCGCCTAATTGCTCAACACTCCCTGATCTTGAGTTTCTCCTCTGTGAAATGAAGTGGGGTGGGGTAGTTGCACGTCCCTCAGTGCCTTGCTGGAAGGGCTTGGGAAAGCCAAACAGCACATCCCTGGCACACAGCAAGAGGGAGTGAATGGTAGTTAGTATTCGTGTTGACATGGAGTCTGTTATGAACCTAGGCCACCGGGGGGGGGGGGGGGGGGGGGGGAGTCTTAGTGAGGGGAGAGCCTTGATTAGAGACTGGAAGGGCAAGGTAAGGGACATAGGTCTGTCCTACCTCCCACCAGCTGCCTCTCAACTGCCACCGTACCAGCTGCTTGCTCTACGATGGGAGGTGATGGTTTACAACAGGTGCGTGGGAAGGAACAGGGCCAGCGATCTAGCCAGACAAAGCCAGCCAGATTTCAACCCTCAATGGCTCCAACCAAAACTGGAAGAAAAAAAAAAAAACCAACTCTCTGAGTAAACTGCTTTGCAGACACCTGCAAAGCCCTATCCTCCCCTGCCAAAACTCCTCTATTTATTTAACCATTTAGCAAAGTTCTGAGCCAATGCTAGACAGCACAGGAAGTTGAGATTTTTGCTCCAGCCCCAAGGGACTGGGGAAGAAAGAGCTTCTGGAACCACAAAGATAGCCATATCCAGTCATCTTCAGGGTGATGATTCACTTACGCCCCTTACAATTCCTCCCATTAAGTGATGCATTGCAGGCACTTTGGACTCTACTGCAGGAAAAACATATTCAGCCCGTATTATCTTGGACACTCATTATCACTCTCGGCCTGGCATATCTTCCGCAACAAGCCATTGACTGGAGAATCAATATGTGAATGTATGAGGAAAAAGCCCAACCTTCCCCTTCACAGACACCAGTTCTCTCCCATCTCACAGAGGCATCTCTATATTCCTCCAGGTACACAGAGGCAGGTAGGAACTGACTAGAAGGTGCACTCCCATCTGCCCGAGAAAGCACCCTGAGCATCTTCTAGCTGCTTCCTCCATACCTGCGCCGTTCTGAGCTTTGTCAGCTTAGTTGGTTCTTAGCTACTCTAGAACATCATAGAAATGGAAATGTACAGTGTTTGTGCTCTTTTGTTACTGATTTCTGTTTCCAGTATGTCTTTGAGAGACTCATGCATACATAATGTTATATGTGTCAGAAGTTGAAGCGTCCCGTTGTGCAAACATGCCCAATTTATTGCCCTTCCCCAATGCAAGCTTCTACAAATAGTCTTATACATCAATTTTTGTTTGATTTTTTTGTTTACATATGTGTTTAATATTTAGAAGTAAAACAGCTAGGTCAAGGGACAGGTGTGTGCTTAACTTCGTGAGACTCCTAGTTTGCGCAACAATGCAGGAAATCTCTGGTTGGTCTACACACCAAGTGACAAATGTGATGTTGGGAGATTTTGACATTTTAACCACTCTAGTGAATGTGTGGTGGTGTCTCCTTGGGGTTTGATTTACACCGTCTTGTCGAACGCCAATGTCGATCACTTTCAATCACTTTTTCATGGGTGTTTGCGTTCCTTTTTTTTTTTTTGGT